ATGTGTGTATCTAGGGTGGGAGGTGCTTGCTGGCCATGTGACTGGGTGGGAGTGGCTTGCTGGCCATGTGACTGGGTGGGCATGGCCAACTTGTAAAATGTGGTGAAACTCACTTAACAATGCTCTTGCTTAGCAACCAAAATGTTGGCTTCAGAAACTCTGGTATTTGAAGCACGCAAGTCTTAAAGCTGTCAAGTTACAAGACCCTTGCACCCCTAACCCTTTAGGGAAAAAAAACCAGGGGTGTTCAAACTTGACAGCTTTAAGATTTGTGGACTTCAACTCCCAGAATTCCTCCTCTCGCTCTTCATCTTGATGATGTACAGACAGGCGGGGGAGGGAGCTAGAACCGGTTCTAAATGGCACAGTAGATTTGTGGAACCTCTTCTATAGAAGAGGTTAGAACTGGCAGGAACCCACCTCTGCCCCAGGCTCAAGATTGACTCAGCCTTCCATCCTTCCGAGGTGGGTAAAATGAGATTGTTGGGGCAATATGCTGACTCTGTAATCTGCTTAGAGAGCCCTGTGAAGTGGTATGTAAGTCTAGAGCTATTGCTATAAATGTACTGCAGCAAGTCAGAAAACTAAAAAAAAGAAAAGAAAATAGAAGAAATTACAGTATTAAAGTTATACCGTACTTATGGGACTTTTCAAAACTTACAATACAAACATGGGATTTAAAAACTATAATTTAATATATGAAAGGTCCGAATTCCCCACAAGAATGAAAACAATCTTTTCATTATTTAATATATTTATAAGAAATGCAATAAAAAAGAAAAAAAACCCTTCAACTATACATAACAAACTTATGAAAATATGATGAAACCAGAATGTTTTTGATCAAAGACTTATGCACTTTGAACTAGAAAACAAATACGAGAAATTAACATCATATATAATAACTGCAGCAAGATTACCGTACCAGATGTACAAAGATAGAAGAACAGTGAAATATCCACAGTGGAAGACTGCATTATAAAACTGGTGGAATTGACAGGAATGATGAATTGTTTAATTGTTCTAACTGTCAGGAAATTTCCCCTTAGTTCTAAGTTGCTTCTCTTCTTGATTAGTTTCCCCCCTTTGCTTCTTGTCCTGCCCTCAGGTGCTTTGGAGAATAACTTGACTTCCTCTTCTTTGTGGCAGCCCCTGAGATATTGGAACACTGCTATCATGTCACCCCTAGACTAGATGAGTCAAATGTCCAATCCAGCAGAGCACTTCTTATGTTGTTTTGAAGACATTTGAATTTGTCACTAATGAGGAGGGGAAACGTTTAAAGTTTTGTAGTTGGCATGAGGCACAGCTTAATCCAGAATAAATAATTCTCAAAATCAGATTCATGCTAATAAGAAAGGCACCTTTAGCCAACTCTTATAGCAACAAGAGTCAAAATGAGGTTGTCAGGTCAACTATCCTTAATTTCCAATGGATTCCTAAATATATTTTACTTACCAGTCTTGTACAGCATTGAAAGATTCTTCATTGGTGATGTCATACATTAAAATGAAGCCCATAGCGCCCCGATAATAGGCTGTAGTAATTGTCCTATATCTCTCTTGACCTGCTGTATCCTAAAACCATGAAATATCAATAGTTAATGTCTAATAATAAGCAGTGAAATTCAACACTTACATCAGCCCCATACTGATGGCATTTCAAAATATTATTTTCAACAAAATGAACATTTCAGGAGACCAAACACTCTTTTCCACTGTTTGATAGTTATATGTACGGTATATCTAGGCAAAAGCTGGAACTAAGTTACTTCAGATCATGGATCTTGAAGTCATTGTTAGCTTCCATTGCTTCAACTGTGATTTATTTTCATCTGATAAGTAAGTGGTGAGTCTCAATATGAAATGATAAGCCCAAAGATACTCAAATGCACGTGAGAAAATAAGCCTTCAGCCATCTTTATCTGTCAACATATTTGATGTTGACTGCATTTTGGGGCAAATTACAAATTATATTAGAGCCATGGCAAAGACATTTGCTTCTCCATTGCAAGGTCCCCTGGAGGGCAGATTTCATCACAGAAATATCAAGAGGGGAAAGTATGTAATATCTTTTCCTTGAGAAGAGTTTTCTCCCTCATTAAAGTTGCTTTTATTCTTCTGGTAGGTCTGGTAGGTGATGGTTAAGTGTAAATGGAAAATCATATGGGAAGAATAACATTTAGTACAACTTTCTTACAACTTCTGCGCATGTGGCATTTGTTCTGCTCCAGGTTTATACAGGTAGTTTGCAACTTATGATCACAACTAAGCCCAAAATTTCTATTGTTAAGTGACTTTTACTCCATGTTATGACTTTTCTTGCCACAGATGTTAAGGGAATCACTTAAGCAGTTGT